CTACCTGTTGAAGTATCCGTAGAAGCCTAGCCTCATGTATCCATTTGTTGAATGACTCTGTAACATTTGATGTAACGTGACCATATCTGAAACATAATAGGGAATTTGTCAAAACTTATAGTTAGTTCGTCTGAGTCATTGTTAGTTCTATCTACTTCTGTGTAAATTCCAACTGCCCTCATGCTAGTTCTAGCTGTTGCCGTGTTAGTTCTAGGTGTTAACGGTTAGTTCTATCTCTATATAACTTTAAGTTCTATTCTAAGTGTTGGTTCTATTGGATATGTTAGTTCTGGCTGTGTTATTGTTAATTCTATTGCAGAATTTCACGTCTAGATTCATTAGACAAGCGGCTTATAATAGATAAGTAATAAAATAGCTTATAACTTACCTAACTCCAGGGGAAAACGCATTAGCCTAGTTCTCTGGAGCGTAGTTCATCACAATATTGTATGCTCTTTCGTCAACAAGTCTAATGTTGTCCATATAATCGTTCTATTCTGCTTTAGTATATTTGTAATAGGCAGATTATAATAGATTACCCAAAATCTGAGTATCCTTTGATTTGAATCCCAAAGTCTTCAACTTTGTCCTGAAGTTCTCAACGCACATACAATAGGCAAATGAAAATATCCCCTGATTTCCATCATATGCTACGACGCTTAGGAGTATACATTTGAATCAATCTTTCAAAAAGGTACTATCCAAAAATACAAATGGTATACATCCGTATAAAAGACCATTTATGTAGGCGGCATAGCAGATGAATATCCTTGTAAACCTCCCCTCATATTGTTCAACATGAATATAGCTACCTGGGTTTGTCTTCTTGACCTCTTCTACATAGCTAGAAAATTGAAGATTAAGTGTTAGTACCACTATTGCAAAATTAGTATAAACAACATCAAATAAATGAAAATAGTTTGTCTATTGTAGATATCATCTTCTATTTACCATCGTAATTGATCGTAGGACTCATGGGCATACCATATAATTGCTCTTGTGCTCTTTCTTTACCCCACCAAATCTTACTATAATCGACCCTAATCCCATACGAACTTAGAAACCACTTTTGAACGTCAATAGGTCGTATATCCGGTTGTACCTTTAACGTGGGTTGTAATTGGGTAGCAATGAATTGCCGAGAGGCTCTAGATTGACCTGTATTATTGCCATGCTGCCCATAATTGTGATTGTCCACTAACCTTTTGATTTTAAGTCTATTATCATTTTTCGGTGGAGAGACAAATAACATCCATGGGTAATTTTTGGCTTCCTTAAACAGACAAAAAACACGAATACGCTTCGGTTCATTCTTTCCAAACTCGTATTCGAATTTTTTTGCCATGGAGTAGTATAGCAATGCCAAGCTTAACTCCTTTGCACTTTCAAATCGTTGTCCCTCACCGGTTAAAGCTGTATGCCACCAAGCAGGAATCCTCTCTGACCTGCTAATCATATCATCAATCTTCAAAATATTATCTCAGGAAGGATTATCATTGGGATTCTTATCTGGAACACTTGTGGATGATAACACCGGCGGGCCACAATCCATACTTTTTGAGCTCAAACTGCTGAAAGCGCTACAAATATTAAGAACATAAAAAAATAATCATAAACTACACAAATAGTAGTAACATCAACAAATAATACCAAAAGCTAAAAAGCAAAAACGACAACTGCTTGCAGTTAGAATCAATTAGAACTAGCAAGAACTAACAAGAAAACCATTAGAGCTAATAGTGCGTTGATTAGAACTAACATACTCGACCACACATTGAACTTGAGCTAAAATTAACAATAAATTGTATAGAACTGACATAATAGCTATTAGAACTAACAATATAACCATTAGGACTAACAAGATATAGATTAGAACTAACAAACTTTACAGTGCTTGCAGCATATGGAACTAGAGATAGAACTAGCAATAAATCTAGTAGAACTAACAAAATAGCGATTAGAACTAACAAAGAAACCATTACAACTAACATATGGAGCCTAACAAAGAACTGCTTAATGATAAATCGATTAGAACTAACAGGACCATGATTACAACTAACATATGATCGAATTAGAACTAAAGTTCAGTTAAACCTAGCATAGAACTAACAAAAAGACGATTAGAACTAAAGTTAATTGATTTCACAGCTAATCTACATGTCTTGTCGGACTTGCTCGTTTTCTTGTTTATTCGAAGAATCATCTACTTCTTTAAAAGCTTGCATCAGAACATCTTTCAGTCCAAGATTGTGGCAATGCTCCACCATAGACGTCAGATCCCCCTAGTTCTCAATGAGAAAATTTAAGCTTCCAACTGTTTCATCTTCGTATGCCAAAATTAATGACTCATATGAAAGATCTAACCTCTTTGCCACATCAAACTTGAGATCCAAGATGGTGGTTGAAGAGCTAATCTTCAAGAATATCGCATTATACCTCGAAGAGACAATGCAGATGATGTCATTCTCAGCCAATTTAAAGGGAAGGTAAGAGTAATGGAGAGAATTCTTGTCTGAGGAGGAGTAATGGATACCTAAATAGTTATTGCTCATGATGGAGTAAAAAAATGGGGAAACTTTCCTTCATTTTTTTCCATCATATCGCATTAATGAGAAGTGACTACTGTTTCGGGACGAGGTCTCGTCTAGGGAAGAAAGAGAAGGGCAATATCGGCTTTTTTTCAAAATACATTCTGCTTTTAGTATAATACTGACGTGAAGGGGGCTTGAAACATTAAACGTTACTTTTTGGGGCTATTCCACATGGGGTAAAATACAAGGGGGCTCATCACACGAAGTTCCCACTTTTGGGGCCTGGACATTTTTTTCCTAATAAATAAATATTATTAGAGCTCCTATTTATATTAAATTTAAAATTAATAATTTAAATTATTAAGCATAAAATATTAGCTCATGTGAGAAAGTAAAGTAATTAATGGTCTATATAAGTATATAGTCAATCAATCAAACGTATTAAAATTATGATGACCATAGTCAAAATTATATGGTGGGTTCATATTAAATATAATTTAAAAAATACATTAAAGTCAAAATCGTTTTAACTACTATATAGACTGTCTGAAAATTTTTGCATATATAAACTATACTGTCTAGGAATAGTGATGTGCACACTTAACTATGGTCTGATAATCTTAAGAATGACTTATTCTTCAATATCATCATTAATTGATGTATATATGCAGTACATTGAAAACACAATAAAAATTTAGAAAACTACAAAATAAACACCCTCAAAAGTTTTAAAAAGTGTAAAAAACATCCTAAAATTTATAATTTACAAATACACAAAACTATTAAACATTACATTGAAATTAAGGAATTACAAAAAAATCATTAAAAATTTTTAAACTTTGGAGGGGTAAATTGCAATGTACTAAACTTTAAGGGTGTTTTTTGAAAATTTTAAATTTAATAGATTTTTAATTAGTTACGTTATTTTCAAAAAAGTTATGGGTAATATTTACCATGAAAAGTTTTTTCTAAACCTATACTTGTAAAAGGTGTATGTTATTTTTTGCATAATTTTAATTTTTAGGGGTTGTTACTAATTTTGCATAATCATTTTAGTGTCTATAGGTTATAAATTCTTAGGTGGTTTTTGTAAATTATGAATTTTAAGGATTTTTTGTAATTTTTTAAACTTATAGACCTTTTCTACAAATTGTAAATTATTTATAGACTATTTATAATTTCTATGCTTTTAATTTACTAATGAATTTGAAATTTTTAGAGTGTTTTTTTGTAAATTTTGAAATTTAAACATTTGTTTGTAATTTTTGAAACTTTAAGGGTGTTTTCTATAAATTATATATTATGTAGGGAATATTTATAATTTTTATATTTTTAATGTAATGTTAGGTTAGAATCTATCATGATTTTTGTAAAACTTACAATTTTGAAAGTTTTATTTTATATTTTGTAAAAAGTTCTGAGTGTGTATTACAAATTTTATAAAATATTTAGGGTTGTTTGTGTTATTTGTAGGTTTTTAGTATGTTTATAGTTTTGAAAATTTAAGGTATTTTTTATAAAATTTGAATTTTAGGGGTGTTTTTGTAATTTTTAAAACTTACAAGATATTTTTTTCAAAGTCAAAGAACTTTCAGTTTCTAGTTAGCATATATTTTTCAGATTTATTATTTAATTGAGATAAGTAAAATTTATAATTTTCAAGATGCTTTAATAAAAATTTGAATTTGTAGGGGTGTTTTTGTAATTTAAAAACTTAGAGAATATTTTTTACTAAGTCAAAAAAATTTTAGGTGCTGACTAGCATATGTTTTTTAGATTTCTCTACAAACTGAAATAAGTAAATGATTTGAATTATATGAAACATATCTATTTTATCCAATAACATGTTAAGTCTTATTATGATTAGAATAAATCATTTGATTAATTCAAAGAAGACATGATAATTAGAATAGATTAGTATAACAATGTTATATTAAAAAAAACTAAGGGTAACATTGACCATAGAAAGATTTTTCCCAACTCGTATTTTTAAAGGGAGTATGATATGATATGATATGATATGATATGATACGAAATATTCAAAAAACAATTCGGATTTGTTAGAGATGTACTGATATCCAAATATAGACATGTTTCGAACGAAAAAGGGATTTGAAATGGCCCAATTTAGAAGTTTCCACCATCAAAAAGTAGCAGGCAGGCAGGCACTACATTTAATCACAACCATCCATTGCGCGACGTATCAGGACTTTTTATTAAGAAATCGAGCTTGAAAATTAAAATCGCTGATCCATGGACTGCCCCACAACATTCTGGGCATGGGCCTGGCCCAAATTAGTTTTATTTCTGTAAGAGTTACTTATTATCCATCAAACATTCAATTATGCGAAATCAACGGTCTATAATAAGGCCTCCAATTCTCAGCGGGCCACAGTTTTTTTTCCCTATAAATTCTCCTTAAACCCTGAGGTTCCAAAACCCTAGCTCTCTCTCTCTCTCTCCCATCGCCCGCACACACACAAACTCTCTCTCTCTCTTTCTCTCTCATCAATGGAGTTCTGGGGTTAGTGTTTGTTTTCCTCCTTTTCCTTTTTCCAGTGCATATTTATTTTATTTTATCTAAAATCTCTGATCGAATATCAAACAGAGAAGAAGTGTTTGTATATTTCCCTTAAATCTTTCGACGTTTCATTCTTTCATCTCCTTAAAATCTCTGATTTATAAATGTATCATTTTGTCATGTTGGATTTTGGTTTGAGGGCAACAATTGTCAGGGCCTTGGGTTTCTGAAGGAAATTTCTTTAAATATTTCAAGTTCAAACTTTTTTAGGTGATAAATTTTTTTTACAGGCAATTTTTTCCCATATGGGCAATTGAGAATTGGGCAATTTTTAATTGAGGACCATATTGTTTCTGATAGTTTCTTTTGGCAACTGCGTTCAATGTATGAATAACATTAGATTGGTTTTAATTGCGATTATTTATGTGTTCAGGCGTTGAAGTAAAACCCGGAGAAACAGTCAAGTGTGAGCCAGAGGAGGAGAGATTAATACATATTTCACAGGTAATTTTACTAATTAAGTATGGACTTTGCTACGAATTAATAACTGTTGTTCATCTTTCCTCTCATTTTGCTTAATGCAGTCTGCACTTGGAGAAACTAAGGAAAAAGGAGAGAATGTACCGATTTATGTGAAATTCAATGAGAAGAAGCTAGTTCTTGGGACTCTTTCTTTGGAGAAATGTGCCCAGATTTCTCATGATTTAGTGTTCGAGAAAGAATTTGAATTGTCCCATGGCTCTGAAAATGCTAGCGTCTATTTATGTGGATATAAGTCTGACATTCCATCTGAAGAGTATCCTAGTGATGATGATATCTATGGTGAGTGCTCTTGTCTTTGGTTCTTCTTTTTCCCAGCTTGTAATTACTTATGCCGGTTTTTCTTGTTGCTAATTGTACCTAATTTACTATTTCCATTTGCAGACTTTGAGGAAGATGTTCCAGTTGATCTGGATGGTAAGCGCCTGCTGTTTTTATTCAAAAAAAAAAAAGAACAGTTTGATCTAATTACGAATTAGACCTAACGCCGCCTCCTATTTTAGCCACATTACTTTTGTTTAATTTCTAAACTGTTACTTTTACTTTATTAGTGAGGCTAATGGTGTGAGCTCTTCGTGTCTTCTCTGCAATTGTGCTCATATTATTGTATCTGTGTAAAAATATTCAATAACTGAGCTTAGTAATTAGAAGTAGTACTAAATCTCAAATCACGTGGTATGTATAGTTATCTTGTTGAGTTCTTTATCACTTGTTCATTCTTATTCATGTAAATATTGTTATGAATGTTTCATTTGTCAATATTTGTTTTCCAATTAATTTTAGAAAGTATTACGAATACTCGGAGACATTGAACAATCATATGCAAAAATATGTTATTTATTTTGTGCATCAAAAGCAAGCACATGATTCATTAAATAAATTAAGATGGATATACCAATTATATAGCCATCATTGTCGTATATCATGTTTATTACCCTTATTCACAATAATTGTTCTTCAACAGTGCACAATGTCACATGGTTGGAGTTATTCATTTGCACGTAAGATACTTAGCTTTATAAACTTGTTGAATCAAAATTTGGAAGCGGCTTTCATCAGTTGCATGAGATCGTAGGTAACGTGCATTCAGCCTTTTTTCCCTAAGATAATCTTTAAGGAGGCAGGATGTTTAGTTGATATCACCTGGATTTAGGAGCCCCCCCCTTTAGAGAGCCTATATAGATTTAGTCAATAATCAATATCATCTAGGTTGAATTATGTTAACACACTAGTTTTAAAATGCTCTAAAGCAATTTAAGTTTAGTATAGCACTTGCGGCAGCCAACTTCCACTAGAGCGAGCAATAAGTTTAAACACCATGTCCTTTTTGGTTATTTTGATATCAATTATAATCCACCTATTTGCCAAACATTCTACTATTGAAAACATATTACAAACCATCAAATTTACCAGACATTCTGGGTTATAAGCCTTTGTGGTTGTGTTGATAACAATTTTCATCCACCCATTTGCCAAACACTGGAAACAGATTATAATCTACCAAATTTACCAAACACTTTAAACTATTTAAACCAGTGATTCTGATCACACTTAAAATGAAGCATGCACGGGCTTGTGAATCTTTTAGTTTATGGTGTAATTTTTTGTTTGTGTCCATGTTGCATTCATCCTTTAATTCTGTATTTTCTACTCTGGTAGTTTTTCTTTGTGATTTATGAGGTCATAACATATCAGTCTGATTCAATTAAGTTTTGGTGAATTTCACCCTGTTATTTGCCACCTTCGTGTAATATTGCAACATTAAATTTCGGATCATTTTGATTATTTCAGCATTTCTCTACCATATGCACAATACAATTGATATGCAGGCAATAGCAAGGTGCTTGGCGGGAAACCCAAGGAAGAGAATGTGGTGACAAAACCAAAGGGTAAAATGAGTGGACCAACTAAAGCTGAGCCAAAGCTTGATGAGGATGACGAAGATGATTCAGAGGATGATTCTACGGATGATTCCGAGGGTTCTGATGGTGATGAGGTGAATTTATTAGCATAAAGTTGTATCTAAACTTGCAGTATTTATTAGTTATTTTGTATAGGGCAAATTTCGCCAAACATAATTACTTCTGGGGTTTTGAACAATACTATTACAAACTTTTTTTTATTAGAGAAAACTACCACGAACTTTCAAGAATACAAGCTATATCATGAATGAAAACTATTGTTACACAGTGTTATCTGGTTGGATAGAAGTTTTAAGTATCTGTGAAATAGGAGAAGGGTAGGGGAATTAATAGATGATATATAAACAACACAAAAAGGAAAAATTGGCCACACCCTAATTTATTTGTATAAAGTGGCATTTGTTAGCGTAGAGTTGTGTATAAAATAATTAGCATAAAGTTGCATTTACAAGATGAATTTATTTTATTAGCATGAAGTCTCATCTAGACTTATGGTATTTGATAGTGTTATTTTGTATAGGGCCAATTTCAAAAATAAATTAACATGAACTTTGGCGGGTTTTGCACAAAACTAACATAAAGCTATTGGATTCCGATCCTCTTCAATTAGGTGGTAATTGGAGTGTAATTACTCCAATCCTATCCCTGTGTTCTAATCCCAAAGGCTGAGATGAAGCCACATAGGATTTAAACTATCACAATACTGGATTTCACAATGGTGATTTTAAAGACAATAATAGTTTTCAAGGTAATATTTAGAGTCCTACGTGGCTTCCTATGATGCACGGATATGGATACGAGACACGGATACGACTCGGACACGAATACGGGATACGGCAAAATCCAAAAAATAGGATACGGGGATACATCAAGGATTTTAAAAAATATTATTATATATAGAAAAGTTTATAAAATTCAACTAACAATTTAAAATATGAATCTATCACAAAATAACAAGTTTGTAAACAAAAAGTACCTCAAGATGAAGTGGAAGCTGAGAGATTAAGAGAGAGGATTAGGTTTAGGGTTAGGGTTTTTTCCTATTTTCTTTCGTTTGAGTCAGCTGAGGATCAAATCGAACGGGAGATTTGAGAAATAGGCATGAGTTTTTTAATCGAACGGTTCGGGTTGGATTTTAACAACCAAACCTGCAACCCGAATGAATCGGCCTTCGGCGAAGCAAGATCTGTTTGTCATCTCTTGCTTGCGTGGGTCTTTTGCCTGTGACGGGGATGTTGATATCCGTGGACCACCGGGGCACTCAGATCTGGTCCGAGAAAATCGGACAAAGTTTCGTCTATCCGCGAGGGGATTTAGAAACTCTGAACTTCGTCGATCTGCGTGAGATCTAGAAGTGTAAAGCTTATGCCTCGGCTAAAACGAGGCACTAGCTCTCCTTTGTATCACCGCTATGAATCTATCACAAAATAACAAGTTTGTAAACAAAAAGTACCTCAAGATGAAGTGGAAGCTGAGAGATTAAGAGAGAGGATTAGGTTTAGGGTTAGGGTTTTTTCCTATTTTCTTTCGTTTGAGTCAGCTGAGGATCAAATCGAACGGGAGATTTGAGAAATAGGCATGAGTTTTTTAATCGAACGGTTCGGGTTGGATTTTAACAACCAAACCTGCAACCCGAATGAATCGGCCTTCGGCGAATCCGAGCCGTGTCCGAGCCCCTTTAACCGTGCCCGAGCCTAATTTGACCATTGACCTGTGTCGGACACGGATTGACCGTGTCTGACACATGTCATGCACATGTCGTGACGAATCCGTGTCCGATTCGAGTCGGACACGGATTCTTGGCCTCCGGGGGCGAATCCGTGCTTCAGAGGTGGCTTCATCTCAGCGCATGAAATTGGAATAAAAGATGAGGATTGTAGTAATTGGGCATTCTCCAAGTGCCACCTAATTTGAGGGGATCCTAATCCAGAGCTATGTTCTTAGAGAAAACCTTCAAGAAGAGTACAAAAATATGTTGCTAAACAGTGTTAAGTTCTTGAATAAAAGCTTTCCATCAGTTTTGTGCAAAACCTACATGGAAATTCCGTGATATTTTGCGTCTTTTATATGTCAGCCATAAATAACAAATCAATACTGTGCTTACTAGGTCACAGGACAGTTGTCTCTCTAAATTTTCACTCTAGTCATCTCTCTGCAGTAGCATTTGAAGTCTATTGAATCATGCATTATATAATATGTTATCTTTATGGTCCAGGACATGATGGAGGCAGACAGCGATGATGACGAGGACAGTGGCAGTGATGGGGATGATGAAAGCTCTGAGGATGAAGAAGAGGCTACTCCAGAGAAGGTAGCCATACTTCTTTTTATTATACGCCTTTTCTATTTCTTCTGCAGTTGCTTTCTGTATAACACTTTAATATGTTTTTTTTTCCTCTATAGGCTGCTGCTAATGGTAAAAAGAGACCAGCTGGATCAGCACCAAAAACCCCTGCCGAGAAGAAGGCCAAGCTTGTGACCCCAGCTGGGCAGAAAACAGGTCAATGTTTTCTCCCTTTCTTGCTGCAGATAATGTGTTTGGATAGGAGTAATATCATGGTGATGAGATGGTTAGATCTTCTGATGTTAGACCTCAATCTGAGTTGCAACTAAAACATTCATATTTTGTTTTTGGGTTTTTTCGATATTAGTTCATTATATCTTTCATATTTTGAAATGTGTCCCACAAATCATTGAAATTTTGAACTTAGTCCTTCCCATAGAAAATAATGTAGTGAGGTGAGATTATGACACTTGCTAAGCTACCTATTCCGTTCCATTATTTGCAATTAGCATACAATATCCAAACAATCAAAATACTGGATTTTAGTGCAATCAGAATGTTGTATCAATGCAATCACCAATATTAAAATTTGCTCTGCTGCTTTAATTTAACATATTTTTCTTATAACAGGTGGTGACGGAAAGAAGGGTGCACATGTTTCAACCCCGCACCCTGCGAAAAAGGAGGGAAAGACACCTGCAAACAGCGATAAGGGGAAGCAGCAGACTCCTAAATCTGCCGGTTCTGTTAACTGCAAATCATGCAGCAAGTAATGAACACTGAAATAATCCATATGTAGCTAACTTTTTTTCTTTACTCTTGCTTGTTTGAAATGAAACTGATTCATTCTTCTCGTATTTTAATTTTGTATTCAGGTCTTTCCACTCTGAGAAAGCTCTTGAATCTCATACAAAAGCTAAACACAGTGATGGCAAGTGAAGGGAGTGGAAGAGTTGAATACCCAATTTTGTTAGTTTCCTATATAAGGCGTATGGACGTGTGGTTTCTAGTTGAGCTTAGTACTTTTATCGGTAATTTTTTTCTTTTTCTTTTTTTTTCCCCTTTTTTTGCTTTTTTCTTTTTGGTTCCTCAATTTTGGGCCCTGCATTATGGGGATGTTGACAGTCTTAAAGTCGGATTAGAGTCATTTAATGAAAACTTTGAGATTTTTTTTTGCAATGGTTCTCCTTCTGTTGTTTGTTGTTGTCCGTATTGGTTGAGTATATTTGTTTCTGAAATCCGTTATGTATTTTTACCTTGTGACAAGTTTCTTTTTCTTTTTTCGCCCTTTGTTTTTTTTTTTGGATGAAAAGATTGAGGCTATAGGTTTTGAGATGCTTGTGGTCTATATAGTTAGACAGTGGAGTTTAATTACTAAGGAGCTACAGAATCTACCCCAAACTTTGGGATTTCTGTTTGCTAGTTCTATGGTATGTTAATTATTATCATATTTATTTTAATCTCTTCGGAGTTCTCTTTGATATAATGCTAGTTCTCTTGGCGTCTATTAATTATAATTTATTATTTCTCTTAAACTAGAGTGTTTAGTGGTTTCTATCATTACACGCTTGTTGGTGTTGGTTATCAAACAGAGGATAATGTGTGGATTAAGTGGGGGTGTTGTGGTCCTCAATCTTTTTTAGACAGTTAGGCTTTGAATGGCGAATTTCATCCTGCACATTAACAACACCTTAGAGTTGGAGTTGGGATCTCTAGTGGTTCCTTTGATGACTAAGTTAGTTATAAGCTTGAGTGGAGAGTATAGAGATAGTGTGTTTTTTAACAAGAGTTTGTTTACCCTCGGCATTTGACAGCATCTTCCTTTTTATAGCAGAGCCAAGGGGTAGATGGGCAATTTCAGCTGAGTTCAAGCAGGTGGCTCGGTTGTTATTTACATTACAGGTATCAGCTGTAGAGAGGGCTAAGTCACCCAGGCGTTTAATGTGAGAGTGACATGGTGTGCGTAGTGCTGACGAGGTCTGACGAGTCATAAAAACTTTCAGGGCAGGAGAAATGATGACTCTGATCATTTATTTAATGTGATGACAATCGACTGTCAGTAGGGAACCCAAGGATACACCACCTTTCAACTCGGCTTCATAAGAGGGTTGACAAATGATGCCTTTCGTTTCGATCTTGCAAGTGGGCCGATAAGTACCGCCTTTTTGGTCAGCCTCGAAGGTTGTTGATCCGGTCTTGTGGAGTGAAAGGAGTGGGCCTGACTCGAATGGTGAAGTGAGTGAGGACACCTTTCGACTCGACCCTGGTTTAGAAAGGGTCGTTGAATCGTCCTTCCTGTAGTATGGCTGATTAGGTACTTAAGGTGGGACACGTGTTGGCTCCTCACTGAGGGCTAGCAGTTAGCTATTTGTAGGATATAACACTAGTCCCTTTCACTAGAACTTTGTAGGCCGAGTCCGAGTGTAATTGAACAATGGAGATGTGGATTCGATCCCTCTAGTTACCGACACTGAGATTGGCACTCGCATCTTCAATGACGGACATGTACTTTACATTGCTTAGTCAGATGAGTGCAAGTTCCACGCAAGCGATAAATTTGAAAGTTTACATCATCAAGCGAAGGAACCAATATCTGAGTCGATATTGCTTACGAAATTTTTCTCGATTTGGCTAAAAGTTTGCGTTGTGCCTTCTCCACCAAAAGATCACATCCCCATCATGTTGGATATCTTGACCCTAAGATATGTTTATTTTGATGATAAGAAATATTATATGTTGTGTGTATTTTATGCTAACATATGTTTTGTAGTATCAGAGCAAAATCAACAGTGATATTTAAAGAGATACTCAAGTTCAAGGCAACAAGACAAGCAAAGAAGATGTGCTTAATCGTAAATTTATAATTTTATATTTTCTTTGCTTAGAATTTTGTACAAGCCTTGATCACTCACAACACATACACACACATACTATTTAGAACACACTAACACATGCTTAGTGTGTGGTTAACTGCAGAAATCCCCTAAGTTAACCATTAGAGTTTATAGATATAGAGTGAGTCTCAAAACATATCATATATCTCATATCTATGTATCAGTAGTCGACCAATATTCTTAGTAGTAGACTACTCTCCTTAGTAGTAGACTACTAAGCCAGTTTGTCAAATATCCAGAAACTACATATGTATAGTGTAGTCGACTACTCTCCTCCGTAGTCGACTACTAAGCAGTTATATGACTTCACAGAGTCTATTTTGACTCAGTGTAGTCGACTACTAAGCCTTGTAGTTGACTATAGATATAGTTTTTCTAACTTTTCAGAATTTGAATATATGATTGCTTATAGCCGTTTTAAGGTGTTAATTGAGTTTAAAATTCAAGTTTTTCAGAGGCTATAAATAGGTATTAAGTTCAGAATTTGCTAACCAACATTCATATGTATAAGATTCAAAATTTGTGTAAATTCAAGTGTTCATCATTCAAATTTTCATTCTAAGTGTTGAGAAAAGAAAAGTTCTGAAAGTGCCTCTGATTTATTTCATCATTCTAAAAGATTAATTAGGCATTATTCAGAGAATGAAAAAGTTCCTAAGCCACTGCTACACATCACAAACACTTCAAGGCTTATAGGAATTTGTGTTCTTTCTTCAAAGAAGCTTTCTCTCGGGTGTGAGAGAAGATCTCTTAGTTAAGAGATTGTTTGCAATTTGCAAGGACTTGCAAATTGGTCAGATTTGATTTTGATTTTGTAATTGGTTCAAAATCATAGTGGAAATCTCAAGCGGGATTTTCTTAGGGACTGGATGTACACCGGGGTGATAGAACCAGTATATACCCTTGTGTTTGTGATTGTTAAATTTTTGTGATTATTGTTCATTGTTATTGCAATTTATAACTCATCTTGCAAACTTATTAAATAACACCAATCACTGCCCTCTAGTGTTTAGTGTGTGCTTTCGTAGATCCTACACATCAAGGCGTTACTCTCTGCCGTCTTACTCGCCTCTGTGTATAACCTAGCCCTTCTACTGGCGATGGTTAGTTATATGCATCATGGATTAAGGGAGCGTGGCCGTCTTCGAGCCTATATACACTAGTTCTGCTAAAGGGTTCATTTACAAAATTTTTGATCCCTAAAACTCTGTCTCTGCTCTTTATTTCACAAGCAATCTTTGATCTTCTTCTGGTGATCTTTGTCTACTAAAGGCTTCTTCGGCTTCCGCTGTGGCCCACAACGAGATGAGGATCGATCTTCTAAGAAAGTTTCGCTCGAAGCTATGTACAACCGAGCTCGATGCTTATTATAAGCGCTATGACCTTCCTCATGAATTCACACTGTCAGCGCCAGAGAGGGCTCAGGCGGTGTACGACCACATCGACATTATAGCTCTGGTTAACCTCAAACGTCTGGAGTATGGACTCCATCTTCCGCTCCACACCTTTCTCCGCCGCACCTTTGAGACTCTGAGGATCTCGGCTTCACAAATCAAGCCGAACTTTGTCACCACACTAATGGGCCTCATGGTGATTTGCCATCGGATTGGAGTCGAGCCGACCCTCCGCATGCTCGGCCACATTCTCAGTGTTAAGGTGGGGAAGAAGGAGGGTAACTACTATTTTCAGAACATGGGTGGCTTCAAAGTCATCTTGAACGCTCCTGAGTTGAACAAAGACTAGAAGGAGACGTTCAGGTGGGCCTTTGAAGCCGACCCAATCTTCTCTTACTCGGCTTGGCCTGAGATTAAGAAAGTTGTTCTGAGGCTGGGTTTCCTCACAGCCGAGGAGAAGTAGGGGCTCCAGAAGATTCGGGCCTACTCGGAGACTTGAAGGGTCAAGAACTTGTTCAACCCAATAGCTCTGTGGGTGGCCGACATTCTCTAGAGTCCCGCAGATTAAAGAGGATAAGATCCAAGTGTTGGTCTTGTCTTTGCCACTGAAGAAGTCGGACGAGACTTAGACGAGGTCTTCAATCTGACCCCAGAAACTACTGAGGTCTGAGTTGGCATAAGCGGAGGCCGAGGAGGTGGCAGTAAATGCGGCCGAGATCGTGGCACGACTTGTTTGCGGTGAAAGTTGATGTTTTCATTGTTGAATCTATTACACGTTTATCGATTACGGATTCAAAGTAAAATTAGTCTTTTTATAAGACTTTCTTACACAATGAAAATAAGAAAAATACAACTCTCTGGGTGAGGCCAAAAAGATAAAGGAGCTCGAAAGAAAAATCGAAGCCCTGATGTCTGTTAGGGAAGTGAAAAAAGAACGGCATTCCGTGTCCTTACCCGAAAGAGTGGGATTCGATCCCGTACCCGGCAAAGTTCAACCTAATTGTTTGCGGAAAAAGTTGCTGTATTCATTGCTGCATTCATTACAACTTCAATCGTTACAATGAAAGATTCAAAGTAAAATTAGTCTTTTTATAAGACTTTCTTACACAATGAAAATAAGAAAAATACAACTCTCTTTAAACAAACGTAACGGGTGTTTATCGCCTGCTTCTTGCGTGGGATCTTGGCCTGTGACGGGGACGTTGATATCCGTGAACCACCTGACGATAAGATCAGATTCGAAGCTTTGTTGATTCATGAAGGAATCAAGAAACCGAAGCAGTTATCTCGGCAACGGCGAGATAACCACTCTTCTTGAGATCACCGCAACGAGGCGATCTCAAGGAAGGAACTCAAGGAAGGAACCGAAAAGTGTAGATCTGACGATCTCCTCTTCTTTATGCTGACGAACTCGATCCGATCTCTCCTCCTCCTCTCTAAAATTCGTGGCTCTTCGGTTCTCAATTCGGCAGGGCTTCGCTAACGCTCGAGAATTTCAGATCTGAAAAAATGAAGGCCCTAGGACTGTATTTATAGGCTTTAGGAGCCATATGTTCGGATAAGAACGGCTGATTCCCTCTTATCTTCAGTTGAAACCACTTAACCATACTATCAGATCAGTTGGAGCCAATCCAGGCGGTTAACGATCGAAAAATCGTCGAAAACAACCAAAATCAGCGTTTTTTTGTATTGCAGACACTTCTGAG